GTGTGTGTGTGTGTGTGTGTGTGGTGTGTGTGTGTGTGTGTGTGTGTGTGTGTGTGTGTGTGTGTGTGTGTGTGTGTGTGTGTGTGTGTGTGTGTGTGTGTGTGTGTGTGTGTGTGTGTGTGTTGTGTGTGTGTGTGTGTGTGTGTGTGTGTGTGTGTGTGTGTGTGTGTGTGTGTGTGTGTGTGTGTGTGTGTGTGTGTGTGTGTGTGTGTGTGTGTGTGTGTGTGTGTGTGTGTGGTGTGTGTGTGTGTGTGTGTGTGTGGTGTGTGTGTGTGTGTGTGTGTGTGTGTGTGTGTGTGTGTGTGTGTGTGTGTGTGTGTGTGTGTGTGTGTGTGTGTGTGTGTGTGTGTGTGTGTGTGTGTGTGTGTGTGTGTGTGTGTGTGTGTGTGTGTGTGTGTGTGTGTGTGTGTGTGTGTGTGTGTGTGTGTGTGTGTGCATTATCTGCGAAGTAACTGCAACACTGCGTCCAAAAGAGCGATTCGTGCCCATAATGCGTTGCTTGATTCGAGCTTCCGAAGCGCAGACTACCCGCCATTACTGCGACTTAAGGCCGCTCTTCATCCCAGGGTGAACGGTAGAGTCCATATCGCGAAGTAGCCTTACAATTTCACGGGCTTACAATGCAGAGAATAACAACATTAATTTGCCAGTATACATGCCAACATTTTTTACTATGTGCCACTGCAAGAAGGTGGTAGGTAGTTAGCAATTATCTGCCAAGCATGTAAGCAATTCACAAAAATTTATCACTGCAGCCTTTGGGTATAATGCTCATCTCCAGCCCCACAATAAGGTTATGACGCAACAATGCAGCAAGTATATTACGTCGATTAGTCACTCATGGCTGAACTCATTTGTTTATGCGAGAATCTCAGAAGGTTAGAAAAATAACTCATCAAGGAGGGTTGCTGATGACAAAAATATCCATCATATACCAAAGACCGCTTCCAGGACTGTAAGTCAGAGCTAACAACAACGTGTTGAACAAATTACAGCTTTTGGGCATTTGCGACGGGTGACGCATACAACGTGGCGTTGTTAAATATTTAGATCATAATTGCTAGGTCCCCCACATTTTCGAAACTAACTCTCCCAAAAATTGCAATTCCCGAAATTTACGAAAATCACAATTTCATCGTTTGATAACATATCACGTTTTTCTGGAAATAGTCATTCCCCGGAAATTGAAGTGCCGAAATTTTGTCCACATGGTGTTGTTGCGGCGTTCTTACGTTTTATCTCGATTTTCTATTGTATTGGCCGTTGTGCAGTCGCGGAGCGGGCCGGGCTAGTTTGACGTCATAGTAGCGGCATCTCAAGGGACACATCAAGTGTTGTAAACAGGCGCGCCGGGCAAACAGCCACGCCGGGCATGCAGCCACGCCGGGGCATGCAGCCACGCCGGGCATGCAGCCATGCCGGGGCAAACAGCCACGCCGGGCAAACAGCCACGCCGGGCATGCAGCCACGCCGGGGCAAACAGCCACGCCGGGCAAACAGCCACGCCGGGCATGCAGCCACGCCGGGGCATGCAGCCATGCCGGGGCAAACAGCCACGCCGGGCATGCAGCCATGCCGGGGCAAACAGCCACGCCGGGCATGCAGCCATGCCGGGGCAAACAGCCACGCCGGGCAAACAGCCACGCCGGGCATGCAGCCATGCCGGAGCAAACAGCCACGCCGGGCAAACAGCCACGCCGGGCATGCAGCCATGCCGGGGCAAACAGCCACGCCGGGGCATGCAGCCACGCCGGGGCATGCAGCCACGCCGGGCATGCAGCCATGCCGGGGCAAACAGCCACGCCGGGCAAACAGCCACGCCGGGCATGCAGCCATGCCGGGGCAAACAGCCACGCCGGGCAAACAGCCACGCCGGGCATGCAGCCATGCCGGGGCAAACAGCCACGCCGGGCAAACAGCCACGCCGGGCATGCAGCCATGCCGGGGCAAACAGCCACGCCGGGCAAACAGCCACGCCGGGCATGCAGCCATGCCGGGGCATGCAGCATGAAACAGCTTGACGTGACATAATCCATAGCCAAATCTCGGCTATGGATAATAAATAGGAGGCGGCCCTCATGTAATGAATTCGAGAGAGTGAATCTTTATTGTAACGACATATGGCTATTGTGTGATTTAGGAGGGATAAGGCAGGCCATTCTGGTAGGAAATCATCTCTAATTTTGAAGCCACGTGGATGTATTATCCATCACTTTTAGTTTGTTATTCAATAGTTCTGGCAGCGCCATAAGGCGACACCATTTTTCCGTTTTCTTCCTGCAGGAGTGCAGCATCCATGAACCCGCTGCAAGCATTTTGATGGCACATACATTTTTGTTGGCTCATCAATGCATGCAACTTTTTTCTGTGCGACTCATTGACTGACCCGGCAGAAAAACGCCGGAGTGCAGCGAAACCGCGCCCTTTCAAGGAAGCTGAAGAGCCCACTACAATGTGATTTGGCATGCCCTTTGAGTCGGGTGCTGATCTGCTATGCTCAAATAAGCGTAAAGGCCTCGTGAAGCGATCCGCTCTGCTTTCGTGGAGCAGAGTCGTTCTTTCGCACTGTGTTGATATGCTCCTGTGCTGAAGAGGACAGCCCCCTGCTTGACCTGGTGCTAGCCATTCGGGAACCCTCCTGTATTTGATTAGTGACGACAATGCGCTGACGTTTACCTCACAGGGACAATGAGATGAAAGGGTATTAAGTATTTACCCCAGTTATGCAGGTTAGCCGTCAAAGCAACATGCAAGCTGAAATTAGGAACCTTTACGGGTACAATTTTCTTTACATATTGCCCATGGGTTGTGCCAAAACCTGGCATCTAACTATTGCTTATCAGTTGTGCCCACCCGTTGCCCAAGTTTTTTTACTTGTTCAACCATTTTAGTTCGAAATAATGGAGGACTTTAGGACATATTTGTACCCAAACTTGCCCTTTTGCATTGCAGGTCGCGGAAGCAAAGATAATGCAGCTAATTATGACTCAAATAAACGCAAGGTGTAGAACTGTGCATCATATAAGTAATTACCAGCAATTTACTGAATATTGCAACCACACCCGTACCCGACCCATACCCGTACCCGTCTTTTTCACGAAATCTATGCCTGGCCCAGCCCGTTACCCATCCCATTCGGATTACCATGAGTTTACCCATCCGGTAAAGTCCTCCAGCAAAAATACCAGAAAAAGAAACAGAGTGTCATTCTTTGAGCATTCAATAGCATAACGTTAATATCAATTCTCATGCCATTTCAGTTTGGATGATAACCCACCTAGCCAGCCCAAACCGACTACTAGCTGACTTTTGACGCTCTGTAACGGGATTTGACTTGCCGAGCAGTCGTACCGCTTTATTTTTTAGATGAAGCGATTCAATATGGCCACAAAAGTTCTATAGCCGCAACAAATCCCAAAGAACGGCTACCTTTGGCGCTTTGCCTTGAGTGACAATGCTTTAGAACAACGTAGAAACAAAAGTGCTGTTTCTGCTTGCTTATCCGCCATAACTTACACGTTGAAGTCACACTCAAGCAGGATCATTCCACGGTAAGGAAATTCATCTACCAAAACGAAAGGTACCAAACAAGTGACGGAGGCACTAACCAACAGAAAGAGGAATCCACGGTAGGCCTTCAGACAGGCCTAATCTCCTTTCCTCGCTATTCGCACAGGATGCGGTGCGTACACCACGTTAAGCACATCATCCCTCTGACTTATAGCACGCCACGTCTGCCACAACGTGTTCTTAAGTTCAAAGGAATGCACCAGCATCACATTCGCCGCGCGGTTCACGCCTCGAGCAAGAGAAGAAAGTGAATAGCATCGCAAGCAGAAAAGCAGAAAGCATTCACTTGCACACCTTCACTTATTTGATCCATTGTTACTCGGAATGTTCGCACATTACTAGCAACAGAAGTGTAGCTTCGTAGGTATTAGTTCGGAAAGAAGCGTCAGCCCCCCCCCCCCCCTCTGCTCAACTTTGGGAAAAAAGCGGGCCATCTCCGGGGAAAAACATGGTTGTTGGCATATTTGGGGGAAGATTACATCATTTCTGATTGTTAAGCCCAACTCATTTTGCGGCACTACGCCCCTGATTCTTAATAATTATTGTTGTAACAATATTTACACGTTTCGCACTTGTCCACAAAGAAAATGCGTACACACCCAAAACATTTCTGAAAGTCCAAAGACAGACTGTAAGCTTTCGCAGCTTTGACTCAAGTCCATCGATTGCAAAATTGACTTTGGAAAGGCACCGTTTTGCAGGCTACGATTTCATTTCCCAGCACCTTTGTCTGACGAAGTTATATCTGATTTAGTTTATGTTTGTTTGCTTCTTCCTGTCATTTTTTTTAAAGAACACACCACCCTTTCACGGTGGTCATGAATACTGCTGTAGAAGAGGTAGGCGTGATCTACTTTGCGTGTTACGCAATGCTCTGCACTGTTGCATGTCTTGTGCTCGTATTGATCCAACCTTTATGCATTGATCCAGCGATGATTGCTTGTGAGAACCGTGGGCTGGCCGTCCAATGTCCGTGACATCTACTCGCTGTAACGGGCACCAATGGTGCCAGTTGAATCCAATCTGCCATCTGGTGCTGCAGACGTTTACTACCGCGCTTTATAAGTTCTCTAAAAATTACTTAAATTATGATAACCTAAACTGCAGCCCGACCATTTCTTCATCTTTACGGGCGTTTAAACCTAGCAGTAAGCTACGAAGCGAGTTAAAAGTTCGATGAGTTCGATGGAACTTCATCAAAGGCGGTATCAGGAAGTGTTGGGAGCAGAGCAGATTTTTCCGCGACGGCGCTGGATGAAACGATTAGTTTCAATCGTTCCGACAATTTCAAAGTGATTCATCGCATTACAGGCTTCTGTAGAAACGACACCTCAAATCAAGGGGCGCTCAAGGGCACCCGTCTGCCGGCGAGCGTCACCGCATGCCGGCCAGCCGACCACAACACTCGGACCAGCGCCTTCGACACTTACCCCGTCTTGGCGAAGTTGGCCCAGTAGCGCATCATCTTGACGGAGAGCTTGGCGTCGTCAGCGGAGAAGCGTTTGGTAGGGTTGAGTGGCTCGCCGAACACGTAAGCGATTTCGTCGCCGTGGAGCACCCCCATCCACTTGGGCCAGGGCGAAGTGGCGGCGCGCTGGCGGAAGTAGTACATGAACACGGGGTTGCCCGCCTTGGCGTACGTCTCGGTGAAGTCGTTGACGCCGCACGTGAACTGGTAGTCGCCGACCATCTTGTCGATGGCGTCCAGGTTGGACTCGGGGTCCTCGGGGTTGACCCAGTTGGTGTACTCGTAGGCGATGGCTTGGCGCGCCGTGGTGGTGAAGTACGGGTTAACCTCGGCCACCGAGTGCAGGAACTGGCTCCGCGTCAGCACCACGTCCTCCTCCAGCTTCAGGTAGTCGATCAGGTAGTATATGAGGAAGAAATTGGCCTCCTCGTTGACACTGCCGGCCAGGATGCTGGTGCGCTTGAAGTTGCCGGTGGCCAGCGACACGTGCGGATCCTCGACCAAGAACGTGCCATCCACCACCGGCACGAACGTGAACTCGCAGATGCCCGTGGTGAAGAACTCGGAGTACACCAGCTCGTGTGGCGAGATGCGGCGTAGGCACTCGAGGATGTCGTCCAAGTGACTGTCGTTGGTGGGGCAGCCGGTGGCGTCAGCGAGTCGCAAGCCGCGGATCTTCGCCTCCTTGCGCTCCAGCACGGCCCACGGGTTGGTGGCCGAGCCAGACTGCATGATGGCCTTGCTGAAGAGCGGCCGCGACAGCGGTGACAGCAGGTGCATGCTGACGCTGGCCGAGCCGGCCGACTCTCCGAACAACGTGATGCTGTCCGGGTCGCCGCCGAACGCCGCGATGTTGTCGTGCACCCACTGCAGCGCCATCAACTGGTCGAACATGCCGGCATTGCCGGGCGCGGCCGGCGTGTCCAGGAACAGATAGCCCAGAGACGCCACGCGGTACTGGATGGAGACGACGATCACGTTCTCCTCGGACGCCAGGATCTTGGGGTCGTACACGTCGAGCGTGGACGTGCCGCTGTAGAAGGCGCCGCCGTAGATCCAGAGCATGACGGCGGCGGGCCGCACTGGCCGCGGCCGCGGCCGCACCACGTTCAGGTACAGACAGTCCTCGCTCAGGGGCGTGTTCGCGTTCCACATGGTCGAACCCTCGAAGTCGCCGAAGAAGTCGTCCTTGATCTGCCAGCAGGAGTTGGGCAGGGTGCGCGCCTCGCGCACGCCCTGCCACCGCTGCATCGGCTGCGGGTGCCGGAAGCGGAGCGAGCCCAACGGCGGCTGCGCGAACGGCACACCCAGCCAGGCGTCCACCTGCCGACCCGTCGAGGCCGTCAGCGTGATGCCCTTCAGCAGACCGTTGCCGGTGCGCACCACCAGGTTGCTGTGCTCGCTGTCCTGGAAGTCGTTGTTGTTGACGTCGTCCGTGTCGACCAGGGGCTGGGGCTTCTCCGCGTTCTGCGCGCATGTTCGGCGCTCGTGCGTCGTCAACAGCAGGAGGACCAGTTGCAGGAGGCGCCAGAGCATACCTGGAACATATGATCGGCTGTCGGTGTGTGCGTTGGCAAGGACGGACATCAGTCCGGGCGCAGGCCACCACCCGAAATAGCAGCAAATAAGCATCTGCCAATATTTCCCGTGAGATCCCCGAGTAGAGGTATTCACCATTAGACTTCCTGTACTTAATCGACCCCCTACCCACTCGGCTGAGGTCGTACCCACTCGCTAACCATGGCTTATGAACTGTAGCCAGCATCACCGACGTGCTTGCATTCTTCCAGTTCTTAAGTTTTAAATCATGGAAGGGTGTCGGGACAGTTTAAACTCCGCTTTTATGTTATTAGCTTGAAAGCAGTGTGGGTGGAGCTAATCAAACGCGCACAAAGCGTAAGCAGTTGCATTGTGTATTGTTTCTTGAAGTATCTACCCGTGGCCTGCAAACACCTCACCCATACTCATGCCTATATCCGTAATTTTCCCCAAATCCGTATCCTACCCAATCGGCCATTACCCGTTCATTATGGGGCAACCATGGATTTACCTAACCCTAAACCGTGCAGTCCTCGTTACCCAGGCTGGCTACATTATGGTGAAGCAGCGCGTCATCTGCTAGTTCTTGTGTACATCCACTCCACTTGTATTCTGGCAGGTATCTAAGATGAGATGTGTGTCAACGGCAATGACGCACAGATGTGTCAACGGCAATGCAAGTTTCACATAACCTCCATCGATTTCATTGCGTGACCTTTCAGTTAGTCCGGGCATAAATTCACCCATTTCCAAGCTTCCCAACCATCACAGTCCGCGAGCAGCCCAGTTTCTATCCTCCAACATCTTCAACTGAGCCTGGCTTCTACAGTTTAGGATTTGTTTAACGAGTTTGACGCGTCTCTTCGGCTCATTCGCTCGGCTTTGTTCTGCGGCACTCCACTCCACGAAGAAGACGCGTCTGTTTCGGTCCGGGATTCGACGCGGGTCGGTTCGGCAGAACTCCGGCCCGGCCGGTGGACCACCTGGAGCTCCGACCCGGCCCGGCCGGCAGACCATCTGGAACTCCGACCCGGCCCGGCCGGCAGACCATCTGGAGCTCCGACCCGGCCCGGCCGGCGGCCACCTGGAGCCCCAGTCTGGCCCCGGTCGGCGGGCCGCCTGGAGTTCCGACCCAGGCCGGCCGGTGGACCCCCTGGAACCCCAGGCCGGTCCCGGCCAGCGAACCACCTGGAGCTGCGACCCGGCCCGGCCGACGGCCACCTGGAGCCCCAGTCTGGCGCCGGCCGGCGGACCGCCTGGAGCTTCGACCCAGGCCGGCCGACGGGCCACCTGGAGCCCCGGTCGGCCGGGCCGACGAACCACCTGGAGCTCCGACCTAGGCCGGCCGACGGGCCACGTGGAGCCCCGGTTCGGCCGGGCCGACGGACCACCTGGAGCCCCGGTCCGGCCCGGTCGCTGGACTCCCTCGGGACGCGGCGTCGGCGCCGGGCAGCCCGTGTCGATACCAGATGCAGCCCGGCCGGCCGGCAGGCTGATGCGCCAGCAGCAGACACGGCAGGCAGCTGGCGGCTACAACCAGAGCAGATAAGCCCAGAGGAGATGTAATCGGGGAAAATACACACGGAGCATTCTTAACCTGAGCAGATACGGCAAGCAGATACGCTTGGTACGGAGAGGCAAACAAGTGCAAACGGAGCAGATACACCCAGCGCAAAGTGATAAGGCTGGACCATATCGGGCGGAAAGACGAAACTGAAACCGATTCAGGTATTTTTTCTATCTCCACTGCGTACTTCAGGCCCAGCACGCAGTGGAGATAATGTGTACAGGTTACCCGGAGCACACCGCGGGTGGCGACAGGCGGAGCGGAGCACAATCACGCGGAGAGGACACACCCGGGGGAATACACCCAGAGTGAGCACATCCGGAGCGAATACACCCAGAGCGGGCACACCGAGCGTGCACACCCAAAGTGGCACCACTCAGAGGCCGAAGCGTGTGCACTTGGAGCGGGTTTGCAGTAGCCGCCAGCGGCGGTCACTGGCTGACCGGCGCAGGCCGGGAGCGACCGGCCACCGCCGCCGGCACGTGGCCGCCGGGCCGCGGGGCGGCCATTGTCCTGCCGGATGAACGGGCTTGTTGACGTCGCGGCGTGCGGCGCACGGAGCTGTGCCGTGGATGAGCTACTGAAAGGCCGCATTGACCAGCCCGATCAATCCACGCTCGATCGTCGAAACCACCCGGACTTTCAGTTACAGTGGCCGGCGACGGCGTCGAGGTCGACGTCTTGGCCCCGGCACGGGCAGGTCGACCCTGGAGCCCTGGCACAGCGTCGACCCTGGAGCCCTGGCACGGGCACGTCGACCCTGGAACCCTGGCACAGCGTCGACCCTGGAGCCCTGGCACGGGCACGTCGAACCTGGAGCCAGGTCGACCCTGGAGCCCTGGCACGGGCTGGTCGACCCTGGGGCCCTGGTAGGAGCAGGTCGACCACGACGGACTCTCCTCCATCAGCCGTGGGACAGAAGACCCAGCCAGCAGGATCCTTATGACAACGAGCGCCAGGAGGCAGACCAAGGATACTTTAGAAGGCGGGTCATATCTATTGAGTTCCCGCATACAGAGCATGGCCAAAACCTGGCGGTCTCTGTCAGTCAGGCCGGGTGTGGTGAGCTGCTGCTGGGCGCGAGCGTTAGATCGCACCCCACCCCCACCTGCCGGTGATATTCACGCGCTCGACCGATGCGTGGCACACTTCCCCGCTGTAGTATTCATGAGGGGTCGGCCAGGCTGCAGGCACGCGCTGTCGCTCGATACTTGGCGGCCTTGAGGTGCGGCTCGACCCGGTTAACACCCAGCTGTGCTGTTGCCCCGCCACCCCACACTGTCCGGGGGCAGTGACAGCCCCGCCCTCCCTACACCATCCGGTGCAGGGACCGCTGGGCCACGGCCAATGTCCAGGGCATAGATGGCTGGGCCAGTTCTACAGCGCGGGCAGGGGTGGCTGGATCGCACAACACTGTCCAGTGCAGGGGTGGTTGGGCCAGTTCCACCGTCCGGGGCAGGACTGGCTGGACCGCAATACACTGTCCGGTCCAGGGGCGGTTGGGCCAGTTCCACTGTCCGGGGCAGGGCTGGCTGGACCGTCCTTTTCTCTCCGGGGCAGGGGTGGCTGGGCCAGCTGGAGGGCCGCTTCATTGCCTGACGCATCCAAACGGAAATTAAGCCGACTGGTGGAGATTCGATCGCACCATCACATATATCACACAGCAATGCCGTATCAAACCACTCGCCATCAGCAGCTGCTTCCTTCTTCCTCGGGTTTTCATCAAGGCAAGGCGGTGAAGTGGTCGTGTCCAGTGCAGAGCACTGAGTCCATCAATGCTTGAAATTTAAATTCCCTACCCCGTTCCATGTAAAACAAGCATTTAAAGCTGCACGGAGCCCTTTTGAGCAGCAGCTATGCGTGTTGCCAGGGCCCATTTGGAGTGACAGTCGGATGTTCCAGCTGTGAAACGGTGCACCAAAAGTGGCCGATAAACGAGCGATGAAGAACTTGCCTGTGCACGGTACCAAGAGGCCCCGTGCGTCACCTCTGCCTGTGCACGGTACCAAGAGGCCCCGTGCGTCACCTCTGCCTGTGCACGGTACCAAGAGGCCCCGTGCGTCACCTCTGCCTGTGCGCGGTACCAAGAGGCCCCGTGCGTCACCTCTGCCTGTGCGCGGTACCAAGAGGCCCCGTGCATCACCTCTGCCTGTGCACGGTACCAAGAGGCCCCGTGCGTCACCTCTGCCTGTGCGCGGTACCAAGAGGCCCCGTGCGTCACCTCTGCCTGTGCGCGGTACCAAGAGGCCCCGTGCGTCACCTCTGCCTGTGCGCGGTACCAAGAGGCCCCGTGCGTCACCTCTGCCTGTGCGCGGTACCAAGAGGCCCCGTGCGTCACCTCTGCCTGTGCGCGGTACCAAGAGGCCCCGTGCGTCACCTCTGCCTGTGCGCGGTACCAAGAGGCTCTGTGCGTCACCTCTGCCTGTGCGCGGTACCAAGAGGCTCTGTGCGTCACCTCTGCCTGTGCGCGGTACCAAGAGGCTCTGTGCGTCACCTCTGGCCTGACCTCAATCTAGCGCCTTTCTTAACAGGCATACAGGTGTGAAAAAGATACCTTCATTAGTTTTTTTAGGCGCCGCTAGCCACATATTCCGGCACTTTATCTCTTCAGCTTTTCCGTACAGTTACCAACACCTTGACTTCATATAACTGGAATGTCCGTCAGCTGGGCGTTCTGATAGGAGGTATGCAAGGGCAGTAAGCTCACCGTCATCAATAAAATAGCATCGACGGCCTATAAACACCACCGAAGTTGCTCCATGAACAAATTTTCTTTAAAAAAATAAGGATGCGTTCGTAATAGCACCAACGCAGTTATCTATTGCTTCCAAAGGAAACATGCATTAACAGCACACATTTTCCAAGCATCAAAAGACGGCAGCTCGGACACTGATGTCCAAGGCTTTGAGGAAGGAGGTTGTAAAAACCTTTGCAACCAGTCAAAACCATGAATGCATTCACGGACGCCTTCGAAGCGTATTACAACTCCATTAAGCTGGCCGCTTGAAAGCAAACCAGTAATGTTGTGTAGTATGGTAGCTGTTAATGTGGAATAACCTTCGGAACATAGTCGCTGAGACGTGAGTCAAAGTTTTGCCGCACGGTGAGGTTCCGCCCACCTCTGCAGTGAACATCCAATGTACTGATATGAATCTGGTTGAGAGGCTGCTCACGCCGGGCGATGACGCACCGTGACGTCACATTCAATCGCGCTATCTGAAGACGTAAATTCCAACTAATGGGGACTGCCAGAGAGTTCCAGGTCACGACGTCGGAGCATGCTTCCAAAGCAAGGGGTGTCACATTAACGATGGTAGTGTGACTCCAAAATGGTCGGATGATTTTACCATAGTTTCAGCGAACTGGAAATTCCTCCACACGGGTGACCGGGTGACATGTGCGGTTTCTAAACCTAAACTGAGGGAAAACTGA